CTCTCTTAACCCTGCAAGCAGCACACCACCGCCTTTGAACCCACTGCATGCCCCAAAACTCCCACTGGGAACCACGCGAGGTTGGGCGGGTGGGAGCTGAGCTCCTCGAGGAACCTGGTCCCAAGCCCCTGGCATCTGGCTGGGTGCTGAGAGGCCCCTGTGCCTCGGACAGGACAAACCATGCTAGGGCAAAGAGTTACGCAGAGCAAGAAGCAAGAGGAAGCCGAGCCACCTGCTTCAACAGGGTTTTGCTAATCTCGCTGTGCCGCTCATCGTCCAGGGCCGATCTTTAGTCTGGCACGGCCCCAGAGCTAGCTAGGAGTAGGGGCACCGGGGTCCAGCACTGCTGGAGATGCCAGAGGACAGGTTGTTACCTTCTGAAAAAAAAAACCAAAACAAAGTCCAGGAAGGCCCCAGATGCTGGCCTGGTCTAATTGCATCCAAGCAAGACAGAGAGATCAGCAAAACTCGTCCCAGCGCGCAGTCGGGACTCGCAGACACCTGCTGCACCTCTCTTCTGCATTTCGCTGGGGCGGCCTGCATCCCTTCCCTTTCGCAGGGCACGTCTCCGCTGCAGCCACTGCGCTACCTGGTTTCAGGCTTCAGTCCCTGCATGCACAATCCTGTATGGAAAGCTACTCTGTTTGGGTTCCCAAGCCTGGAGCTCTAGGGTCACATTCACATCCTTGTCCGGCACAGATTCAACAGCTGTCATGTAACGTGGCAAAGTTTTTTAAAAATCAACATGATTTTCAATTATTTTCTTTAAGTTTCCTCCTTGCTTGAAGAACCAAAATCCCATTTTCAAAAGCAATTCCAGCACTTCAGGGCTTGGGTCCCATTAATTATCAAAGATGATGATGCTCTTTTATCACCTAGCTGCTTTTGTACAAAAAGTTTTACCCTGAAATTTTGGGAAATCTCACATTTCAGGGTTGTTATGTGAAGCTTCCCCTTGTTGCTCTGAGCAGCACGCTCAGCTGCAGTGGAGGTGTCTTGTTAAATAACGGGATCTCTGTTCAGACCAGGCTTGCTGGTCGGACTCCCCCTTGCACAGAGAAGTGCGAGCCCTACACCCCTGTTCTCACAGTCCATGGAGGAAGGGGGGCGGGCGGTGAGAAGTGAAGACTCACCCCTGAAGGAGGATGCACCATCCAGCCCAGTTCTGCTGTTGCAGTGGTGGAATCCATCAGTGTTTCTGCAGGAAGATGACAAAAATCAGGAGTCAAAGGGGTGGAAGTGAGGAGGCAGCCTCAGCACACAGAACTAAGCAAGCAGCATGACGGGGCCAGGGCCATGACTGCCACTCGCATACCTCCCCAGGCAATCACAGCTCAGAGCAAGGGCCTTGAAAACAGATCTGGTGCAGAGCCCAGCACTGATGCATGGCTTAGCACCTTAATTCTTGAAGCACCCAGGAGAAATGCTGCTGCAGTGGCAGCCCCCAAACTCCGACGCAGCCCCCCTGCAACCAGAAGAGCATGAGCGGATACAGAACCAGCCAGCTGTGCAGCGCTGAGCTAGGAAAAGGGGAACCCAGGGCCCAGCCAGCACAACCCACAGCTAACCCCTTCTTCTCTCGTCACCCCCACCCCAAACCCACGGCACCACCAGGCTGCTTGCCATCGCCGCACTGTTCTCTCGGCTGCGTCTACCTTTGCAGACCATGGCATCCCCCACAGGGTTTGGGGACACTGCAGCCTCCTCCATAACAGGCCCATCCCCACAAACAAGTGATAGATAAAAGAAATCCTGAATATGCAGCATTGTGCACCAGGACTGCACCGTCTCCCCACACCCTCATGCAGGGGCCTCCTCCAGCCTGCTACAGGCACGGCTCCAGCTCCGGAGTGGCAGGAGTTTTCTCCAGCACGGCCGTCAGAGAGGCCTTGGTGCTCCAGCTCCGCCGTGGAAGGCCCTAGCACCGGCTCTGTGCCCAAGATGGGGGACCACCACCTTGCCGCCTCGCACCACGCACAGGTTCCAGCTCAGCAGGTGGTTCCCCTCTAAAGCCAGGAGAATCATAACACATTCGAGAAGATTTTCCAGGCAGTTTGGGCTTAAATACTTTAGGTCAGATGAGTTTTTAGCTACTAATGCAAGAGAACAGAAAAAACAGGCGAGGATTTCACAGCCCATGCAGGTGGCGATGTTTATATTTGCACGGTTAGATCCTGTTTGCGGGTGTTTTATAACGCTGCCAAACCTGAACCGTTCCAGCCACTGTTTTTCTGTGCTGGGTCTCTGCCTCGGGCCGGTTGGTATGTTTGTGGGTTTTAGCCAAAATACTTCTGCTGTTTCTCAGAGGAGGATAGGAGAAAAATGCCTTGTTTGGTCCCTCTGAAAACAATTCTGAGAGCCAGCAAGGTGAGGAGCTTGAGCACCCCACCTCTGGGCATGAACCAGGAAGCAATGTGCAGTGAAGCTCTTCCTGGCACATCTGTATCCTCCAGCACTGGGGAGCAGCGCTTCTTTCATAGACACAGACATCAGGGCTGGAAGGGACCTCGGAAGATCATCGAGTCCAGCCCCCTGCCCAAAGGGCAGGAAGTCAGCTGGGGTCATAGGATCCCAGCAAGATGAGCATCCAGTTTCGCCTTGCAGGTGTTCAATGAAGGCGCTTGAACCACCTCCGGTGGCAGGCTGTTCCAGACCTTGGGGGCTCGGACAGTAAAGAAATTCTTCCTTATGTCCAGCCTGAAACGATCTTGAAGTAGTTTGTGACCATTCGACCTCGTCATCCCTTGGGGCGCTCTGGTGAACAAACGTTCCCCCAGATGCTGGTGGTCACCCCTGATAAACTTGTAGGTGGCCATCAGATCACCCCTGAGCCTGCGCTTTTTCAGGCTAAAGAGCCCCAGGGCTCTCAGCCTGTCATCGTAGGGTCTGCTTCCCTGACCTCTGATCATGCGCGTGGCTCTTCTCTGGACTCTCTCAAGCTTCTCCACATCCTTTTTGAATTGTGGAGCCCAAAACTGGACACAGTACTCCAGCTGCGGCCTCACTAAGGCCGAGTACAGGGGGAGAATGACGTCCCGGGATTTGCTTGAGAAGCATCTATGGATGCAAGCCAGCGTTTTGGTCGCTTTACTAGCCGCCGCATCGCATTGCAGGCTCATGTTCATCTTGTGGTCAGTGATGACCCCCAAGTCTCTTTCTTCCATAGTGCTAGCCAACATAGCACTGCCGAGCCTATAAGGATGCTGCGGGTTTTTTTTCCCAAGGTGGAGAACCTTGCATTTATCGGCGTTGAACACCATCAGATTCTCGTCCGCCCACTTGCTGAGCCTGTCCAGGTCAGCCTGGATAACCTGCCTGTCTTCTGGTGTGGATGCTTTGCCCCAAAGTTTGGTGTCATCGGCGAACTTGGCCAGTTCTGATCGCTTCTGACTCCAGTGTCCACATCATTAATGAAGATGTTGAACAGTATGGGTCCAAGGACAGAGCCTTGGGGGACCCCACTGGTCACAGGACACCACGATGAGTGACTTCCATCGATTACTACCCTCTGGGTCCGACCCCGGAGCCAATTTTCCAGCCAGTGGATCGTGGAGGACCCAAGGCGACAATTGGCCAGTTTCTCCAAGAGGCGATCATGGGACACCAGATCGAAGGCTTTTTTGAAGTCAAGATATATGACATCAATCTCTTCTCCCTTGTCCAGGTGATAGGTCACCTGGTCGTAGAAGGAAATGAGATTGGTCAAGCAAGACCTACCCGCAACAAACCCGTGCTGGCTATCCCTTAAGATGTTGGCGTCGGCCAGTCCATTAAGGATGGCCTCTTTAATAAACTTTTCTAAGATCTTCCCCGGGATAGCAGTCAGGCTGATGGGCCTATAGTTAGCCGGATCCACTTTCCTCCCTTTCTTGAAGATAGGCACCACATTGGCCTTCTTCCAGTCTTCGGGCACTACACCAGAGCGCCAAGAGTTTTCAAAGATCCGTGCTAGAGGCTGGGCTATGATGCTCGCCAGCTCCTTGAGTACCCTGGGGTGAAGATTGTCAGGGCCAGCTGACTTGAAGGTATCCAGCTTCTCAAGATGTTCCTTCAGAAAGTCAGCATTAATGGAGGGCAGGGGATCACCCTCACCCGGACTTCCCGGCCCTGTAGCGGGCATGGGCGTCCCATGGGACTGATGAAAGACTGACGCAAAGTACCTATTTAATAGGTTGGCTTTTTCCTGGGCGTCAGTTGTCAGTTGCCCCATCTGGTTCAGGAGGGGTCCAATGTTGCCCCTGCTTTTCCTCCGGCTCCCACATATCTGAAAAAGGACTTCTTATTGTCCTTGATGCTCAAAGCTAGCTGGAGTTCAGTTGCAGCCTTGGCTTTCCTGGTCTGCTCCCTACAGGACCGGACCAGTGCAGAATAATCCTCCTTGGAGGTGACTCCCATCCTCCACCCTTTGTAGGCCTTTCTTTTTAGCCTCAGGAGATCTGCTAGGTCCCTGGAGAGCCAGGGGGGCTGCTGTGCCCTCTTGCTGCCTTTCCTCCAAGATCTGCTCTGCTCCCCGTAGCTCCCAGCCTCCCAGAGGAGTCTGGGGCTCACTCCCAGCTCCACTGCTCAGGGGTCCCAGGCCCTACCCCACATAAAGGCAGTCCTGAAGACACAGCAGATGCAGTTTTCTGGAC